CGCCAAGCTGCGGTGGGATGACTCTGCCCTCCGAGCCGTCTTCTTGGAGGGACTGGCAACCTACATCCGGGATGAGATGGCGGGAATGGAGCTACCCCAGACCCTGGATGAAGTTGTGGACCTGGCGTTGCGCATGGATCAGCGGGTTTTGGTTCGGCCCAAGCCTCTCATTCGCCCATCCAGGGCGCCTGGACTTTTTCCTCGTCCCCCCACGCCTACTCCCGGACCCGTTGTCACTGAGGAGCCCATGCAACTGGGCCACCTTCTTCCGGAGGAAAGACAGTGACGGTGGCGCGAGGGCCTCCGCGCCTATTGTGGTTCCCCCGACCACAGACGCATGAACTGCCCCCTCCGTTCGGGAAACGAAGGAACCCACTGAGTCTCGGGGTCGCTCAGCCTGGGTCACCTCCAACCCCTGCCCTTTCCAATCGGCTCCTTCTGCACGTCACCCTCCAATATGGCGAGACCTCGCTCCAGATGCACGCGCTGGTGGACTCGGGGGCCGCTGACAATTTTATGGATGTGGATCTGGCTGAACGCCTACGGATCCCCACTACCCCCTTGGAGAGGGTTGTACCAGTGACCACGGTGGACGGCAGGCCCCTCCAGCCTTACCCTGTCCAAAACCGAACGCAGTCTCTCCAGATGACAGTCCAGGGCCACCGGGAGACCCTCCATTTCCTGATTATCCGTGCTCCATCCTCTCCTCTAATCCTGGGGTTTCCCTGGCTCCGCCTCCACGACCCACGGATCTCCTGGTCCCAAGCTCGCCTTCTGGAATGGGGGGCCCAGTGCCGGACCCTCCTCTCTCCTCCTCCACCTCGACCTGACTGCCCGGAGGGTGGCTCCGGTTCAGCGCCACCCAATCTGCCACCGCCCTATCGGGATCTGGCCGCGGTGTTCGATAAGCAGCGAGCCACCGCACTGCCGCCTCACCGTCCATACGACATGGAGATCAAGCTCCAGCCAGGAACCATTCCACCCCGGGGGCACCTTTTTTCTCTCTCCCCCGCCGAGTCCAGAGCTATGGAGGACTATATCGACCAGGCCCTCCAGCAGGGTTTCATCCGACCCTCGTCGTCCCCAGGTGCTGCAGGCTTCTTCTTTGTGAGGAAAAAGGAGGGTGATCTCCGCCCCTGTATTGACTACAGAGGACTGAACTAGATCACAGTCAGAGATCGCCATCCTCTGCCGCTCCTCACGTCCGCCCTGGATGCCGTCTCCCAGGTGCAGATTGTCACCAAGCTGGACCTCCCGAGCGCCTACAACCTGGTCCATATCAAAGCTGGAGATGAGTGGAAGACGGTGTTCATCACCCCCACCGGTCACTGGGAGTACCAGGTCATGCCCTTCGGACTGTGCAATAGCCCCGCCGTTTTCCAACGCTTCATCAATGATGTCCTCCGTGACATGTTGGGACGGTGGGTGTTTGCCTACCTGGACGACATCCTGATATACTCCAAGTCAGAGGCTGAACACCACCACCATGTTCGCGCGGTCCTGACCCGGCTCCTGGACAACAACCTGTTCTGCAAGCCCGAGAAGTGCTCCTTCCACCAGCGGTCCGTTTCATTCCTGGGCTACCTGATCTCGGATCAGGGTCTAACCATGGACCCTCAGAAAGTCCAGGCGGTTAAGGACTGGCCCCTACCTACCAGCCTAAAGCAACTGCAGAGTTTTCTGGGTTTCTGCAACTTCTACCGTCGATTTATCAAAGACTTTAGCACCATTGTAGCACCTCTCACTTCTCTCACCCGACCGAGCCCTCCTGGTCAACCGTTCCGGCTCACCCCAGACGCCGTTCGGGCCTTCCACTACCTAGTCGCTCGTTTCACATCGGCTCCTATCCTGCGCCACCCGGACCAGGCAGTCCCTTTTGTGGTCGAGGTTGACGCCTCGGATGTCGGTGCTGGCGCCATCCTGTCCCAAGGCGGCCCCGACGACAGGCTACATCCCTGCGCCTACTTCTCCAGGAAGTTCTCCACCACCCAGCAGAAGTATGGCGTGGGGGATCGTGAACTGCTAGCCATAAAATGGGCGTTGGAGGAATGGAGGCAGTGGCTTCTGGGCACCTCTCAGCCGTTCACTATCTGGACTGACCACCAGAACCTAACCCACATACGGTCCGCCAAGCAGTTAAATCCTCGCCAGGCACGCTGGACGCTCTTCTTCGAACCCTACAAGTTCCATCTCGCTTATCGCCCCGGGACAAAGAACCAGAAAGCGGACGCCCTCTCCCGCCAGTTCACCCATTCAGCGCCCACGTCTGAGCCGGCGCCCATCCTCCCAGAGCACCGTTTTGTGGCCCACCTTGGGTGGCCGTTGGAGGAGGCCATCCAAAACGCCCTCCAGGGTGACCCAGCGCCACCAGAGACCCCCGCCGGTCGGCTCTACGTCCCCTCGGCCTGTCGCAGTGAGGCGTTGTCCTGGGCCCACTCATCACGCCTGTCTGGTCACGCAGGCTTCTCTCGGACTCTCAGGTTCCTTAAACGGGCTCTCTGGTGGCCACGTATGGAGAGGGATGTTAAGGAATACACGAGCGCTTGTGACGTCTGCGCCCGCTCTAAGGCATCCACCCAGGCTCCGGTTGGCACCCTCAGACCTCTTCCGGTGCCCAGCCGCCCCTGGTCCCATGTGGGGCTGGACTTTGTCACGGGTCTCCCGCCGGTCAACGACCTCGACACCATCCTGACGGTCACTGACCGGTTTTCCAAGGCTGTTCACTTCATCGCCCTCCCGGGCCTCCCCTCGGCCCGACGCACTGCAGAACTGTTTCTGGAGAACGTGGTGCGCCTCCACGGGTTCCCGGTCGACGTGGTCTCGGATCGTGGTCCCCAGTTCACGGCCCGTTTCTGGAAAGCCTTCTGCCATCTAGTGGGATCCTCTGTCAGCCTGTCTTCGGGCTACCACCCACAGACCAATGGTCAAACGGAGCGGGCAAACCAACAGTTGGGCCGGTACCTCCGCTGCTTTGTTTCGGCGCAGCCCTCGCAGTGGCCTAAGTACCTCCTCTGGGCGGAGCTGTCTCATAATCTCCACACCTCCTCGGCCACTCAGATGTCCCCTTTCGAGGTCTGCTATGGCTATCAGCCCCCGGTCTTTGCCCACCAGGAACCCGAAGTCGCGGTGCCGGCCGCTCAATCCCTGGTGAGGCGCTGCAAAAATGCATGGATCAAGGCGCGGGCCTCCATCACCCGGGCCAACGCCTGTTACTCCCACCAACACCTCCGCAGGCACCGCCCGGGCCCCTCCTATGCTCCAGGGGACAGGGTCTGGGTGTCCACGGCAGGCCTCCGGGTCCGCGCCGGTTCCAGGAAGCTCGCTCCCCGGTTCCTCGGACCCTACCCCGTGCAGAAGGTCATCAACCCGGACACGTACAGGCTGCGGCTGCCTACAAGCCTTCGCGTCCATCCCACCTTCCACACCTCCCGGCTCAAACCTTATGTGGAATCCTCACTCCTGCCGCCTCGGGCTCCGGCGCCTCCGCCGGCCCGCTTCCTCGACGGTGAGCCCATCTACACCGTCCGGCGCATTCTGGACGCTCGCCGCCGGGGTCGGGGTTGGCAATACCTTGTGGATTGGGCGGACTACGGCCCCGAGGAACGCTCCTGGGAGCCGGCCCGCTCCATCTTGGACCCTGCCCTCATCTCGGACTTCTGGGCCCACCGAGGTGGCCCGGGGACTTCTGGAGCCGTCCCTTGACCGGGGGGTCCTGTCAGAGTCCAAGCCCCCAGGCCGGGCTCTCCCAGCTGACCGGCTTCTGTCTCGGACCATTACCCAGCATGCCCCTCGCGGGGATTCCTTCCACGTTGCACCTGCGTCATCATGTCTATATATGGAAGACGCCACACCGGCTCTTCACTCAGTCATCGTTCCACCGTGTTCCATGATCAGAGTATTCAGAAGCTAAGACTGTTAAACCTCCACCTTTCTAACTCAGACCTCATCCTTCCGTCAGCCTTTTCAGCACCGCTTGCAGCCAGCAGTCTCTAATAAAAGCTCTTACTCCCGAACCCAGTCTTCGAGTCTGACATGAGTACGGTTCCAGTCATCTCTTTTGCACCAAGTTCCTGGATGTGCAGCCATGGGTGCAACTACCCGTTTTCTGAGGAGTGTGCAGACACATGACGTGATAAATGTGAACATTTTATATTTAAAATAATCAGTCTGGTGCATTTAGATAAAGCAGAGTATCAGGCTGGTAAGAAAGTGTAAAACAGCATCTATTTGTGGCATTATTCATGACGCTGTCCTTCCTTTAACCTTTGTTGAGCGCTGACCACAGCTGGTGACTGGGAGGTCCACTGATGCGTCCCTGCGGCTCAGCGAAGCTGAACTGGTGTTGCTTATTTACCGAAATAACAAACCAGCTGGGCAGCGCTCGCTGTAGAATGTGTGAGCGTGCAGAACGTAGAAACTACGTTACTCTCGCGACGATTTAAGGAACAAAGTCGAATCGAGCTGCTGTTATTTATTTATTGTTGTTTATAACAACATCATATATCAGGGAGGCTCTCAGCCCAGGGCTGGAGTCTGCAGATCGTTATTATCATAATTATTAGAATCGTGTTTTCTTCACACCGACACCAGAATATTCTGCTTTAATGTGCAGACACCCAAACCTTTAAAATAAAATAAAATCACATTAAAATGATTCATATTACATTGTTATTGAGAGATTATTTATGTGTGCACGCCAGTGGTTTGTTTAAGATGCCTGCAGATGAACGACATTTATAAATGTGGCTGCTATTTAAAATGTTACTGATTTGAAATTTGTTTAAATCATTTGGAAAATAATAGATTTACTGAATTTAAGATTTGCGTTTAATGTTTTCTTTCCATCGTGCAGAAGAATTTCTTTTCAGAACTGTACATTTCTACTGGAGTATAGATAAGATTATAGATTGTGTTCCTTCAGCGGGTCCAACCAGTGGTGTAGATAATTTAGAATACTGAAAAAAGCTAAAAATGAATAAAGTAATAAATGAAAGCAGAAATGGTTTTGTGACTGAGCTTTTACTTTAAATAGCATCTCTGTTTGAGGTAGAAACAATGAACAAATCGGAGATTTTACACACGGTAACACGCTCAGAGTGCATCTTCGAGCTGAAAACGTCTGATTTGTTAAATCTTGACTCAGACATTCCCAGTAACACTCAGCATAAGGAGTTGTTTGTGATGCTCTTCCAGACTGTCAGCATGTTGGATGAGAGTAGCTTTGTCCTTTGCCTTTACGGAAGGCGGAGATATCATTTATTTGTCTCTTTCACGTCCTTAGGAAGCAGCTTTCAGGCTCATTGTCCATTCTGAGACCTAAAAATAAAAGCATGAAGTGTCTTCTTTAAAACCTGCAAATAAACATCAACTGATGGGTGATAACACTGGAGAGAAAGCACCATAAAGTGTCAGTAAAATCCTGCGAATGTGTGCAAAGTTTAGATCTTATCAGCAACGTGAGAGCATGTGGCTCTGATCCAGATGTGACTTGACTGTTGACTAATGATTACAGATTCAGAACAAGCACAGAGGTCCTTCAAACAGGGGAAAAATCAGCAAGAGGAAGAGTCGTGTTCATACGGACAGAGCTTCTCTGACATAAACTTTAGACGAGGAGGCAGTGGTCCTCATGGAAACCTCTGTAGCGGCGTTAGAAGGTCTGTGTCCTCCTGAGGTCCCCTCGCCAACTGACCGGCTCTTCCTCCTGAAAGAGTTCCTGATCCCGGTGGAGAGGCGTTCAGAAACACGCCTCATGACCCGTCCAAGGCCACGATTCTTAGGCTTGATCAGACCAACGTCGTCCTCCAGCTCCTCAGGCGGCACGTCGATGTTTCCAGAGTACCAGAAGACCCACCAGATCAGGCTGAGGAAGATGATGATGGCACCAACGTAGATAAACAGGTCGTGGACCACCAGCCCTCCAAACACCCCCACCATCATGATGAGGACACCGAGTATGTCGTGGGCCACTGCGAACCAGAAGGAGCACTTGCAGCGGCCTACTGCGCCATAGCTCCTCTCTGCAACTGGCTCCACGCGCACAAATGTTGACATTGTGGAAGGTGAGATCCTCTAAAGAAGGAGAAGCAAAGTGACAGGTGCTGCAGGGCAGAGACGACACAAAACAACCCGCTGAGACTCCGCTCAAAGTCCACACAGTCAGTTATCAGCAGGAGCCGCACCAGCTCGGACTGTATTGGATGTTTCAGTTGCATCGTCATCGCTGACAAACACCAAGTCATTCATTCAAGCCCCTGGCTGAGTCGATCCCGCTTGTGCTTCTCCTTCAGAACAGGGACCCACACCAGCCCCACCACGACAAACATCAGCCCGACAGACAGGCAGGCCGAGGCCACGGATCGGGACGGGTCGGCGCCCCTGGGCGACCGCAGCGCGAAGAGTAGGATGCCTGCGGCGGACATCAGAAACCCCATCACCATGGTGATGATGGCTTTGTTGAGGATAGTCCAGCTCAGTGCTGCTGCTTCCCAACGCGAGCTCTGGGTCCCATCATGATGGGAAGCTTCGTCAGTCACCTCCATCGTTGAGCTGGTGCTCGTTTACGCTTCTGAGGAAGAAAATAAAAAGCGTGAAACAAGAATCTCTAGAACTTGAGTTGATGATTCAGCAGCAGCACCAGGAAAGACCTGCATCATATGCAGCAGATACACCCTTGTTGGGTTGAATGAACACAGGACCCACCCTCCTTAGCATTACCACACGCATGGAGCAGCTGCACAGGCTACAGCGTGATGACAATAGGGACGTCACCTGATACGGTCGACAGGTACACAGCTGACGGCTGGATTCATCACAGGTAAACAGTTGTCAAGGCCGCCGCAGCTTCAAGCCAGCAGTTTGTAGATTAGACCATTTGTCCACATCGTCCTCATTCACCCACATTTTTAGGGCTTTCCAGCATCAACTGCCTTTCAGGTCAAAGGTCTGATACTCTCCTTCAGGGTGTTCTGTTTAGGCGCAGCATTGAGGGTTAAATCCTGTCAGTAAATATCTGTTGCCTTTAAAAGCACATCACCATAACATATTGCTTATAAGTTTCCATTTATCTGATTAAACAAGCGCATCAAATGAAATCAGCTGTTGTGGTCAGACTTTTGAGCCTTTTTACCAAATAGCTTCTGTCACCGAGTCTTTTTCTGAATACTTATGCATGTATTACAGTAAGGTTCCTCTACCGTCCTCCTCTGGTGTGAAACAAAACACTGCTCGAGTCTGTTGTGAGCTTCCTCCTCTTGGTTCTTTTTTTTACTGGTGAAAACGTTTTGCACGACTGGATTTTTTTGTGGGTGGTGAACCAAGAAGCCCTGGAACTACTGTTGCATGTAAAAGGCTTTTAGCTACTTAATAAAAGACCGTTCCCCTGTTGCAAACACTGACATAAGGTTTCGTTATGAAAGAATTTACTAGTGTTTCTGCAACGTATATTAACTTATACATGTAAACCGCTTTTCTCCTCTCATTTATACATACATACACTCGCCTAAAGGATTATTAGGAACACCTGTTCAACTTCTCCTTAATGCAATCAACCATCGCTTAGCGTTTCCCGAGGCCATCGGCGTCCTGGTTACTAACTTTTCTGCCCTTCCTGAATGGTGGATAACCTCCAGTAAGATCATTTAGGGGCTTCACTATTTTTGAGAAGTCCTGGACAAATCGGTGATAATACCCCGCAAAGCCCCAAAATGACTTCAGCTCCTTGAGTGTCTGAGGTTTTGGCCAGGTGCGAAGGGCAGCAACCTTTTCGGGGTCAGTTTCAACTCCTTGGTTAGAAACAATGTGGCCTAAATACCTCACCGAGGTCTGAAAGAACCGACATTTAGAAGGTGAAAGTTTTAACCCATTTTCTCTTAGTTGTTGGAGGACGTGTATAAGCCTGGACTCATGTTCTTCTAGTGAGCTTGAAAACACTATGACGTCATCCAAAAAGACTAGTACTTCCTTGAGGTGTAGGTTGCCCATACACTTTTCCATTACTCTTTGGAAGGTACTAGGGGTGTTGGTAATGCCCTGGGGCATGCGATCAAACTCATAAAACCCCAATGGACAGACAAAGGCGGTCTTCGGCTTATCACGTTCTTCCATCTCTATTTGGTAATAGCCTGATTTAAGGTCCATTACTGAAAACCGTTTTGAGATGGATAAGGCGGAAAAGGCTTCTTCAAGATTGGGGAGTGCATATGCATCACGTATTGTCAGGGTGTTCAGCTTACGGTAGTCAATACATAAGCGGACCTCCCCGTTCTTTTTCCGTACCACTACTATTGGGGAGGAGTATGAGGATTCTGATTCCCGAATAATGTTAGCCTCCAGTAGGGTTTGCAGGTGTCGTCTTACAGCCTCGTGGTCATTTGGGTGAATTGGCCGAGATCGTTGTTTGAAAGGTGTGTTGTCGTTCAAGTTTATGTGATGTTTCACTTTTGTTGCATGGCCAAAATCTAGGTCATGGCAGGCAAAAACATCTCCATATTCGTTCAGTTTGTTTGTAATTCTTTCTTTCCACTCATTTGGGAGAGGAGACTCGCCAAATTGGAAGTTCAGTTTTGGTTGGGAACTCTGATTGGCAGGTTGAGTGGTTGCAGCACAACATTGGATGGTATCTCTCCCACTAGTTTGTGCAGGTAAGTCATGAATATGTTCTGGGGTGTGCAGTTCTGCTATAACACAACCATTGGGAAGTGTAATGTCATGCTCTGTCTCGTTCCTAATCCAGACCGGTAACCTCTGAGGGTGCTGCTCAGGTAAGTTCACAAGACGGCATTCTACAAAGATTCCACTCGGTAGGGTAGAAGATGGCTGCTCGATGATCACACATTTGCCAGCGTGATTAGCTTTGATGTAGCATTCTAGGGGCATTCTCCCTTGAGCAGGGACATGATGTTGTAATTTTCCTCTCAGTGTCATTAAGCCAACTCTTCCAGTGGAATCCTTTGCGTTCCTCAGTTTGAGAGTTCGGAGGATTTGCCTATAGCCATAGACTGGAGAAAGTTAATTTGGATTTTTTCTATTACAATACCCATCATAAACTACATCAGGTACATTGGTACCAATAAGGACTGGTAGATCACTGTTTGATCGTACATCTGGAACAACCAAAACTAAGGTTGAGACTTCAGGTTCTGCCTCAACAAAGTCTTTGGGAAATTTTAAGCTTAGCTCTACATAACCCAGGTACGGGACGTTCTGACCACTGGCAGCTTCTACATCTAAACATGCAATGGGGTGAATGGGATAATCTGAGAGGTTCGCATGATAGAACGATGATGACAAGTGGTCACTTGAGACCCAGAGTCTAGGAGACAGTTACACTGAACTCCTGCAACTGTGACGCTAGCAGTGCATTTCTGACCTACTAAGCCTTTTGGTAGCTGTATCTGGTCATCATCTGTAGAATAGGAATGAATGAGTGTTTTGGTACCGATTGCTGGTTCTGAATCTGTGGTGGGACATTCTTGAATGGGTCCAGTCCCTGTATGTCCCTCTGCAGGAAGGTCGGTTTAAAGACAGTTTACATTGTTCCTCGTATGCTTGTTGTTTTTGCTTGAACTCTGTTTAGTTCCAACAAGTTGTGGGTTTGGGTCATTGCTACACTCCTCAATCCCTCTCGTTTCCCTCCACCCGCATGTGCTCTGCTGTGTGTCTGATCCTCCCTCTTCCCCGCCCCTACTGCTCTGTGTGTGGACAGTCTGGACACACAGTTACACATGTTGACCAGCCGGCTCTTAGAGCTGGTTCGTTCACGACCAACACGTCATTACATCAGACCATTAGAAAATTCACTTTATGCATCTATTCATGGACGTAATTTTAGGGGGGGACAGGGGGGACATGTCCCCCCCCCCACTTTTTCCAAAGTCAAGCTTTGACCCCTGCATGTTTTACCATCCAAAAACAATATTACGCTATTTTAAATTGACACTGGTTGAGCTCTAGGACCAAGCAGAAAACAACCATTTGTGTTGAAGCCTGTTTCCCATTAGAACATACTGTAAAGACCCCCACCCCACCCCCCCACCCCACCCGTGTCCCCCCCACTTCTAAAGTGAAAATTACATCCATGCATCTATTATACACATTTTTTATTGAAAAAAAAGAAAAGAAAAAATAACTTTGGGCCATCTTATTTTCCCTTTCTAGACTTGTTGTCCGTCCTACATTTTCAGAATTCATACTTTTGTTTACCAACTTAAGATTTTAGGTTCATCTTAAACCTGACTGAAAAAAATCAGCTGGGCACACTGGGCCAGGTGTTTCTAGTTGTTTTAAGAATTTAAACATTTGTAACATCCTCTACAGACCCAAAGATTTTCTAGTTACCTAAATAAATATGTAATTCCTATACTCAAAAAAAGATTATCTGAACAAAAACTAAATGATCCAATATGCATGTAAACTATAGCTGCGTCAATAAACCTTATAGGGATCTGGCTGGAGTTTCATCCTGAACCAGCCCTCATGTAAACCCCTCTTATCTCTTAAGGTTGTGAATGACCAGTCACCAATTCTTGTCATGTGTCTTGCCCGTGTATGTCTGATCTCTGAATTGTGTGCACTGAAACTCTTAATTTCCCTCTGGGATTAATAAAGTATCTTTGATTTGATCACTGGGATTACAGGGAATTATGATGCATTTACATCAGTTGGTCAGCAGGTGGCAGTGTGTGGAGTATTTAGCCACACTAAAAAGTGTATCTGGAGTTAAATAAAAACAAACCTCACATTATTTACAACAGAGTTTATAACATGATAATTACATATAGAGAATAAAAGGATTGTTTAGAGTCAAATGTCCATTTTGAGTCTGTACAAACACTAGACGATCATTTCGCTCTCAGCGCTCTTCTTCTGCCCTTTTTCTCTGCCTTTCTGGCCGGTTTGCTTGGAGCTTTAGCTCCTTTCTTCACACCAGCAGGTTTAGCTGTTTTCTGCAGCTGCTGCTGCTGCTTCTTGGAAGGTTTCTAAAACAAAAAGATCAATGATCAAAGAGGAGAACCTACAGCCTATAAATTATAATTTAAAACTAATTTCACAAGTTGCAGCAGTGGACAGCACAGACCTCCAGTTTGGGCTTTTTGGTGGGCGTTTTAATGGGAACCAGCTGTGGGATTTCCTCATCCTCTTCCTCATCCCCTACTGCCTTTTTCTTCGGCTTGTCCTTTTTCTTTGCAACAGTTTGCTTTTTGTCTTCTGTCTTCTTACCTTTCTTTCTCTCTGCAGCTTTCTGAAATTTCACAGACAGGTTTAGCCGACAGACCGCATCACAACCCTTCCACCTTCATGTCGGGGCTCACCTGGCCTCGGGGGAAGTCCTCCCCACTGAGGTGGCTCAGCTCGGAGGTGTAGATGGGTAAGGCCACGGATGCTTGACTCTTTAAATGGATCAGCTTCATTACTGGTCCTTTCTGTCAACACAGCGGGTAATAAGTGATGCAAATGAAGTGTGAGTTTGAACAAAAACTAAAGACTGTGTGGGTTAGCAGTTCCACAGCACAAGAAAACAGAAGGTGGCAAAGGCTGGACAGCACTGATGCTAGAAGAACTCGAGACAAAGACTAGCAACATCACAGACCAGTGACACCAACATCTGCCCAGAGGTTTGAGATGGTTGGAACCTGCACAGACGGAAAAAGAGCTTTTTCCTCAAGCCTTGAGGTTTCCATCACCCCCCTGTAGAATATTGTGCCTTGTGATTATTTTGTAGAAGGGAGATTTATTTTTCTTTCTAAAGCCCAGTTCACAGATCTTTTAATCGTCAGATCATTTACCAAGCACAAGGGAAACACGCGATGAAAAGGCACGGATGTAAAGGTCACAGCCCAAGGGTGTGGTGTGCAGTAACTCGGCTAACGTTTATGTAGCTTTAGCCTTTTACTGCAGGTAACAGGTAACATGGCTGGGAAAATAGGAAACAATGAGCGCCCTGAAAAGGAAAGTTAAGCAGAGCGGCAGACATCGCTGATAATAAGGTTGACAAAAACTGTTCACTTGTGTGGACGTGTTGTACCCAAGCCCCCACAATGCGGCTCTAAAATTGGGCCCAACCCGGAAGTACCAGAAATTGCAGTTCCACCCTCATCCACTGGGGGCTGGTGTCAGAAGCGAGCAAATCCTCACTGACTCCCATGTTAAAAATACCAATTTCACAGCAGAAATAAACATGTTTACAGCCTGGTACCAAAACATGTTTTTGGTTTAAATTATCTAGTTTACACTCATGACAACTCTGAGGGGGGTGAATTTTATTCTCACTGTTTAAGTGTATTAAAAGCCTAAAATTCTGTATAATTAATGAGCATCAGACCCACGTGACCGCAGAGCTAGCTCGTGGAAAGGCCTCAGTAGAGCCTCGGTCTGGCTTGGAAACTGCTCCGGGATTTTGAGTCTCTGTGTTTGTGTATTCTTTATTGGATATTATTTGTGCAATTGTTGGACAAAACAACTTGCTGTGGCATTAATTGCGCTAATAGAGCGTCCAAGGAGTCTCCACTTCATTTTTTCGGTAAGTAAAATTATATTTTTGTATTTTAGATCACTGCCGAGCTGAGCTTAGATTTTAATAAGTACTGTTTAACCATGAAATTTAAATGTAATAGGGTAAAACCCAGTGCATTTAACATAAAGCTGCACTTTAGAAAATGGGTTGAAATATAACATGTTGGTGGAGCTGGGTTCTAACTATCGGCTTGTGGAGCTCTCGGTAGACGGATGTTTTCCACCCGGTTTTACACAGCGGTCAGCCCGGCGTATCTCTGACTCAGAAGCTCTGGTGTTGTGCACAGTTAACTCCGGTTGTAGCTAGGTTGCTACCTACGTTAGCTTAGCTCCAACATTCGCATTAGCTTTGGGTTAGCTTCTGGTTAGCTTGAAGCTAGTTCAACCGGGTGTCGTCACTTGATCCCAGCCTTACAGCCCCACCTCTTCCCTTTTTTGGAATTGTCTGGGCTTGACGGCAACCTGCTGAAGGTTTTCACTGATATGAAACTTTGTTTTGTTCGTTTTTCGCTGTATTTTATTGCTTCTTAAATAAACTACATTTAAAACAATCAGACATTGAGAATTGAATGTCTGTTTTTATTTTTATTTTAAACCAGCAGAACATTTTTGTTCATTTTTGTTCTGTTCTCTAATGAGAGAAGATTTCAGTTTAAAACAACTTTTGTCAATCCAAAACAGTTCAATAAGGCTCGACATGTTCAGCTTTAGAAAATAAATCTTTAAGTGAAAAATTATCTTCTAATATATTCAAATCTCACTTTAAAGCACCGGAGAGCATCAAAGAGGCCCAAAAACAGTGATTTGTTTTATATTGTGATATATACTGACTGATAAGAACTGGCTCTGACTGATTCTGGTACCAGTCTGAACACCAAACCCTGGTGGTCTAAATTAGTTGTTTTTGTTGACAGATGTTGTCTAAATAACAACAAAGACACCAGCAGCAAATAAGTAAAATGCTTCACACTTATCGTGCATTTGGTCATTCTTAATTGGTGGAAAAACAAGTTTAAAAGTTGTGCTGAATAACCAATCTGACGAGTAAAACAGACAGCAAACAGACTATCAAAGATCAAACTCTCAACTGTATCACACCCACCATCTCGAGTTTGGCCACGATGGCTTGGACCGCCGCTTCAATGTTTTCTGTCACCTCATCTGCTGTCATGTCCGACTGAGCGACGCGTGCCATGCTGGAAAATGACCAAGTTGGATGGTGAAACGCGTGGCAGCAGAACGACAGGTTTTAACACAACCGTTACGCTTATTATGTATCAAAGTTGTAGAGACAGGCTCCATCAGAGGGAGGACCATCTGGATTTACATTGAGTCTCTCTGGCACCAAAATAACCCACGTCAAACAGAAACCATCAACAGGGTTGTACAGAGGTGCGGTTGATTCACAACATTAAACTTTCATCCCAGTCTGTTACACCCCCCCATTCAAATAAAACAGGTGTTTTCAATCTGCTGCAACAGGGATGGAAACATCCTGGGACTGATCTCACCAGCAGCAGCCTTTGTTGGTGACCGTCAGGGTGGTGCCCTGGATGATGTTCTGGATGTCTCGGGCCAGATGGTTACTCTGCAAGTTCACAGATAGAGGTGCTCTGCAAAGACAATAACATGGCGGCAATACTTGGAACTCCCTTCTCTCAACACGCTCACTTAAACAGCTGGGATAGTTCGTACCTTTTCCTTTCATAGAAATGCTTTCCGAGATGGGACGGCAGAAGCCGACGGACACGGGCATCGGCGAGGAAGATGCTGAAGTTTCCCAGCAGGCGACGCTTGGCTTCATAGGGTTTATATTCTGTCTTCAGAACCCTGTACGGTATAATCTACCAAAACAACAAATAATCAGTACATTGGAAACTTTGACTTTGTTTAATGACCAAACTGTTACACTGCTGACATCACTGGACATTGTGGTAGAGTTAAATTATGGTAGCATGGTCAGATTACCTCTGATATGTTCTTGACACCTTTCTCCTGCAGCAGCTTCTTATAAAACCTCTGGGTCTGATCTGAGGTCATTCGGGGCTCATCCTTAGTGAAGAGGCAAACTTCCTCCGTGTCAGACTGATGGCCATGGGGCAAAGGACTGAAGAACGGAACACACACTTAAAATGATGGCAAACACAGTTCAGTAATAGAGCAACTCCCCAGTCCCGGACTGCGGGACTCACATCTGGATGCATTGCTTCTTCTTAGGGATCTTCCACAGGGTGAAGAGCAGGCTGATCGGCTGGGTCTCCTCCGAGAACAGCGAGTCTGAAGCGGCTGCTTTAGTTTTGAGAAACGCCTGCAAGGCTTGGACGGCCTTTTTCACCTGCAAATGTAAATAAACGTAAACTTAGGAACTCCTGCTTAAAGTCCCAGGACATCCACGAGGTCCAGAATGAAGCTAGCGTGTCTCGAGCCTGACTTAACAACGCCCAAACAAGCTAACTTGTGTTCGCTACATCTACCGGAAATAGCTACAAGCTCACAAACGCAGTTTCTGATACTTCAAACAACACTTGATACAACTGTGAGAGGATAAACGACACTTTAGAGACTTTTACCTGCGCCCGGTCTAGTTTTACTTCTGACTTTTCCGCCATGCCGTCCGCTTCACGTGCGAAGACAACGCGCATGCGCAATACAGACTCGTGGGCCACGTGACGAATACAAATTGAAAAACTTTATTCGTATGTCAAAAACTGACAAAAATGAGAATTTGAGGCTAAAATACTATTTCACGTGCGCATTTTTCTGTTAACACGTTTCAAAAACAAAATGTGATCAGAATAAGTGAAACTATAAGGAAGAAATTTGAAACCCAAAAATATCTTTGCATTAGTTTTTATGCAGACATAAATCTAGCAAGAAAACCTGTTTATACTAGCTTAGATGTGTTTATTATGACAACTGTCTCCAGCTCAGAGAAGTAAACAGTGTAACAAACTATTTTTAATTTAACTGTCTGGCCTTACAAGATATAAAAATTAATAGTAAAACAGTCTGACTGAGTGCTGCCTGCGTGGTTGTGCTTACCTGTAAATATTAACCACTCAGGGAGGAATTCAGATTTTCCTAACTTAAGTCCAGGATTCCCCATTCAGAGCAATGTGTGTAATCTCTGAGGTGACCTGAAGAAACCCTTAGATCCAACATTAATAAAGCTTATGTCAACACTGATGCACGTGTTAAACTCTTTAATGAAGATCTTCACTTACAAATGTGCACACCTCCTCCTAACTTGGTCCTGATAACATAGTGGACTGGGAAAACTTTGAAGTATTCAGTCTATTAAAGTAGATTTGCGTTAAATTCATTGTTTAAACAAGCAGATCAAACATGTCGAGAGTAAAACATAATAAAACAAGTACACTGCTCTGTCAGCTTGATCATTTATTTTCAGTTGAGATTATGTAACAGCCTGTTTTCTGAGAGCGTTTGTCCTTGGATTATCAGAGTAGTACTGTGTGAGCTCAGTCCAAATAACCCAAACTAAAATTCTGATACAGCAATCTTTAAAATCAAATATCCACCGGACTCCCAAGTCCACTCTAAAGAAGGGAGATGCACTTTTAATTATAATTACAAGCCAACTCCAATGTTTGCATGATGTAGAAATCACTGAGCGTTTTCAGCTCTTGCTCTTCAAACTCAGCAACGCCGCATCCACAGACCTAAAGAACAAATAGCGTGTCCAGCCGACAGCACAGCTGGCCCTGGGAGTAATCAAGAGGGGCGTGTAGCTACATTAGTGGCATAGCCGAGCTCTCAATATGAGAAAGCTGACGCGCTGGACATGGACTCGTTTCATGTTGCTCATCATATAAACTGATTTCAGTCTTGTTTTCTTCATTTGATATGATTTGACTCTGCTTCCTTCCTCCTTGTTGGCGATCTTCTCTTCAGCAGAGTTGTGTGTAGAGAGAGAGGAGCTGTTTGGGTCAGCTCGGGCAGCGTTTCTCCTCAGGTAACGAGTGAAGGAGCTCCATGCACGCAGGTGCATTTAGTCCTTTTCTGGAACCAGCTTCAGCACTTTGCCGATGGCGATGGTTTTGCCTGGAGATTAGAGTTAAAGCTCGTGTTTATACAGGATGTAGAGGTTTGTAAATACATTTAATTTCCACCCACAAAGATGCAGCAAATATAAATACTATGGGACACAAAAGTAAATAAAAACAGCAAAGAATGACAACTAAAGGCTTACGGTTTCAGTTTGCATAAACAAAATCTAGATTAACTTTAGTTTCTAATCCATGTAGAAACTTCATTTTATTGAGATTTCACACAACAAACGGTTTGAAGTTGGCAGACATTTTCAGCTGCCATCATTTCTTATAGGACTATACGAGTCCTGTCATGTTTTCACCGACTGATAATCCAGAGCTGAACCTCAGAACCGCCCCGATGAAGACGAGCGGGCGTTTGCTCACCTTCGTCTCTCAGCGTGAACCGTCCCATCTGAGGGAAGTCTTTGAAGGTCTCCAAGCAGATGACTCCTGCTGCCCGGAGCCTGGCGATACACACCTGATCCTGCTTCACAAAGCGAGGTCGTGTTTTGCTCTTATCGCCCGTCTTCTTGTCAACCAGACAGATTAATGCCTGAGGGTGGAAAATCCAGACTCTCATCAGTTCAGGCGAGTCAGGAGGCAAAAACATGCACCGCGCAGGAACTACAACGGTGTGTTAGCGCCACCCAGAAGACGTGCGTTGGTGTTTTTAGCTACGTTCACAGCAGAACTAAAGGAGCTTCGTTTATAGTCTCGGACATCATAACTTCCTGTTCCAGCTCTGAGCTGCAGACGCCAGCTGTAGCCATTATCAATCTAACTCTAACAACTAGATATAACACAGCTAGGCTTGAGCGGTCTCCACATTTTGATGCCATTAAACTTCCTCCACATTTTACCAAGTTGAAATGAAGATTGCTCTTACAAAGATCCATTGCAGATCTTATGATCAGTGTGTGTTAGACTTAACAAGTTAATAATTCTCTACACTCACACACATCTTCATGAGACACTAATTAAGTTTAAGGTTCACCTCACATAAAGTTTAGATTCTTATTCGCCGAGTTAAGCGTCTTGTATCTGAAGGAAGGCGTGGCTTTCTGAGGAATGTTCTGGTAAAGCCTTCCAGTCACGGCTCATTCTGATTTGCCAGAATGGCCAGAAATCATAACAAGGTAGTTTAATAAATCAGAGTAATTCAGTTTCTAGCGGAGTTCCAAACCGGCCAGTTCGGAACAAGCATCTCTCTGGACATACCGTCAAAACCTGTTTGCACGCTTTACGCCGACACAGCCAGACGGCTGCCTAAGAACCACATCCACACATCCACACAACCACGCAGACGAGCATTCCAGCTGCTGTTGTGACCTGGAGACGTCTCAAGACTGGACGGGTCGTATCGGAGTTTGATCTACAAAATCCCGGTGCCGTGAGGTCCACCCGACTTCTGACAGTCCGGATCTGCTGGGGGTCTCCACCAGGGTTTGTAGACACGCGTCTGATGCTGTTTTATTGATAATCAACTCTCGTTTATAGCAGACAACTAATTCTTTTACACCCAGATTTCACAATTTATTTCAGATGCAAAGGTTCTGATAAACATCTAGCTTCCATCACACCACCTACACACCCCACTCCATCACCTCTCATTATTCATATCTTGTCAGGTATAATCATTAGTTTAGAAAAGAATAAAATTACTTTTCAACTAAACACCTGACTGTCTGAAATAATAAGAAGTGTGTTTATGGTCCCTGAACAAGTAAAAGTAACTATAATCCTCTGATTAAACTTCAAAGATCAATCAGGTTGATATTTCATATTTACATGCAACCATCACACCTTATTGGTCATCATTAATTTGCAGTCGTAACGCTACAAAGTGTGACCGCTACACACGGACATTGTTGCTGTTTACGGTATTGCAGTCATACTGCCCAAGCCTAAAGAGAATATTACTGTTTACTGTTTAGTCAGTAAAACCACGGTCTGAATCCTTCCTCCTCATCCACGCATCTCCTCTGGGTGGCACCAACGAACCACTGAAGAGAACAGCTTCAGCTGGAGCAGCCATAAAACAAAGCATCACGTATGCTGAAGGGTCTTTAGTGACCAGCTTACCGTGATTTGCACCTCCTCAATGCAGGTGTGGATGTGAAGAACGGCGTTATATCCTGGACAGATGATCGATTTGTGCTCAATGATGACGATCTGAAGGAAACAGATGACATGCGTGCTAGTTCCACCCGGGCTCAACACTAAACACAGTCACACAAGTGAAAACAGTTGCACCCGCTTAGACCCCAGCGTGGACAAAGTATGAGCCCAGTCATTTGTTGCTGCTGCTATGGCAACCTGTAAGATTTAATTCTGTTTAATCTGAGAGCAGACGCTGCTCCTCAGAGAGAAACCCCTAGGAGCAGGAGAGCTGGTGTCCTGGTCTTTACCTGGGCATCAAACGTGCGACCCGAGTGGCAGAGGTTATCAGGGCTGCAGAGGATGAAACCTGGAAGGATTTCTTCTTCTTCTATTCCCTTCAACCTCAGCTTCAGGTTCTCTCCTGGACTCGCGTCGTCTGTCTCCACGTCATCACTAAGCAGGCTCAACACTTCTACTGTGTGCTGTAAGACACCAGAACCGAGTGTGAACCACCTCTGCACAGAGCATCTTCAGTCTCAGCATCTTCAGGACTCGTAGATGTTCTAGTCATCTCTTGAAGGTGCCATGTTTGCTCCCAGAGAGATGGAGCGGCACCATTCACTCACCCTGTTGGGCATCATGACCAGCTGCTGGGCTTTACTGATGGAGCCAGACTCCAGCTTCCCCAGGATGACGGTGCCCATGTCCTGCAAACACACGCAGAGCTGTCAGACCACAACATCTGTCACGAGTCAGTCAGTAGGACCTTCTGCTCAGTAAAATATAAACACATTACACATAAATACTCCTCTCTACAAGGTTGAGAACAGCATCAATATAAAATGCAGCAGGCCTCCGTAGCTGATGAGGTTCAGGTCCGTCTACACCTGGGACCAGAGAGGCTGAGTCAAGGTGAATCAGTGAGATGGCTCTAGACTTTCTGCTCAGGTGAACTCTGACATCACCGTGTGTAGAAGAGAAGAGAGCTGAAGACCTGCATCCGAGTTAGACCTCACAGATCCATCAGGATTCGTCAGCATCAGCATGTCATCGGCAACACGGAGCCGGAGCCACGCTTGTGGTTTATGAACAGGAGGGTCCATTCCAACAGCGAGTGGGTTAGTGGCTGCACTGCCTGTCCCAATGCATTCTGGGACGTGCAGTTCTACATGCATTTGAACAGGCTGATCTCACGGGTCTGATATAATCTAGTTTGACACGTGTGACTGAGTCTCTGTGGTTCTGCTGAAAGTTTGCCATCTCCAGCTATAGAGCTCCAGGAGTTGACGTCACGTCTCCCGGCATGCAACAGTCCAGATCGAAACGGCGCCATCTTGGCAGGCAGAAGCCCGCACCTGGACTATTTGTTATTGTCAGAAAACTCAAACGGGAAATATGGTAGATTCCTGTTGTGCCCCAGGATGCAGAACAGACACGGACGACATAAGGAATGAGCCATCTACAGGATTCCCCAAGATCCGGAGCACCGCAAACGTTGGATCATTGCAGTAAAACGCGCTAGTGACCGGGCTAAAATGAAGCTGTGGGATCCCGAGAGTAAAGGTTTTCGCTTATGCAGCGACCACTTCATATCAGGTACTTAAACCAACGTTTCCTCAACTGTGTGTGGTATTTATTTTAAATGCTTTTATTACGATCCTTAGTGGGCTTCCTAAACTTATTCTGGCGTGGCTTTTTCTGTCTTATTACTCACAGCAACAAGTAAACGTCACGTAAAACGTGAGCCTCGTGATTTCTGCGCGCTGCCGTTTACGTGTTTTATGATCACAGCAATTAACCGGCTAAGCTGTATTTAATTTTTAAGCAATGGCTGATCACACGTAAAAAGCACTTTGGATTGCTATTATCTATCTCACCGACACAGATCTCAGACAGATCCTGAGACGCTCCTGCCTGACATTTTTATTTATTCACTGTAGAAAATCAGACTAGTGATTTCTCTTGGCGTTCAGTTTATACATTCAAACAGCACAGCACTCTATTTAAACTACTTACGTGTAAATCTGTTATTTGTCCATCCATTTTCATCCGCTTATCCGGAGTCGGGTCGCGGGGGCTGTAGCCTAATGGGCTCGACACACGGGAGGCGACATCGCCTCTCCTCCATTCATTTTCAATGAGACATGCGCGACAAAGCGATAATCGCGGGTCTCCCTCCTACTAAGCGAAACGCGAAAAACGTGCGTGTGAAATTTTGTGCTCGTGCACGTGTCGTGCACAGGCGACCCAGCGACACGATCCCAGAAAGTTGAAACATTTTCAACTTTTCATCGCTGTTGCACGGACGAGGACCAATCAACGGAGGTTTCATTCACTGACCAATGAGCGGACAGGATGCTCCTCCGAGCAAACATGGAGGAGAAGTTGATTATTATTATGTTTTATAGTAAAATCAGAAGTAAGATTTCACATAACTCTAGCAGCACCTTGTGAAACATCATATCTACCACTTTTTTAACTCTGAACCGCTTAAATAACCTTAATTCCCTCCAACCTGACACAGCCAAACAAAACAACGGAAGTTTCAATTTCGCCATGGAACAGAACGCGTAGACGGCTTTGCCGCTGCCGGGGGTCGCCTCCCGTGTTTCAGGTAATAAAAGCGACAGCGACAAATTTCGCTGATCGCGGTGGTTTGTCGCCTCCCGTGTGTCGAGCCCATAAGTCGAGAGGCCCAGACTTCCCTCTCCCCAGCCACTTGGGCCAGCTCCTCCGGGGGAATCCCAAGGCGTTCCCTGGCCAGGGCCGCTCCGACAGCTTCTGGCGTTTTAAAAAGTATCCAGGGGCATGGTAAGGGTCGTCGATGTTTATAGTCTATTTAATTTCTGACTATATAAAACGATGTCTTTGGTTTTAAAGTGTGAAGTAAATGCCGACGAAGTAAAATCCAAGCCGATCCCGCCTTTGTTGCCTGCCAACATGGCGTCTACGCTCTGAGTCCGGAGCTCTATTGGCTGGATGACCTTATTAACACATTCACTGCCAGCCGTTTCCTGATCAGAAAAGCCGTTCGCTGCCAGCATTTTTCAGTGCTTTCATAGTTATTTTAAGAGTCACAGAACGTTGCGTTCTGGGATGATGTCGACGCCAAAACTACCAAAACAAAGCGGAGACTCACCTCTTACATCGGGAAGAATCCGCGCGCTTCGAGCTTTATCCGTTCTTTCATAATCCGTTGTTGAATTGTGATCGGCAGAAGCTTTTCCGGTTACCGCCTCACTTTTATTACAGCAGCGGTCCAAAATGATCTAACACATGGATTTTCTGCTTCCTGATCACGTGACGTGTGACGTATGCGGAAAAAGATTGACTTTAGAGCTTAGATGTTTGTTCTCACGGTGCGGGGGCTCGTTCCGACGCCCACACAGTAAAAACATGCAAATGACGACTTTATTCGTCAATGGCAGTGAATGAGTTAAGCTCCGAGTTGAACAAACCACAATCCCATTACATCAGAAGAATACCAGTTAGGCTCCTTCCCACAGCTACAGTTCTAGCCAACACAGGGAGGAAAGGACATTAGGGAGGCAGCAGACAGAAACTGGTTGTCTCTAGCCTGCCAGACTCATCCTCTGTTTATTCTACACAGAGAAATGGTACGGTAACTCACAGGCAGAGAGGCACTTGAGAGGCGGGACTAGCCAGCGCAAAAATAACCCATAAAAAAAAGGCGGAAATGTAGATTTTTAGCTGTAGTCAAAAATGGCTTCTGGCCCAAACATCTTTCTTTTGAAGAGGCTTTTAGCGCTTCTACTTGTTGTGGTTTTAAAGACACGTTCAAGTCACTTAGATCAGAGGAAAGAGACGTAGAGTCACAGTGTGTGACGTATGCTGCTTGGCGCCGACTGTGCGACTTTTTCACTTTTTTGAGCCGATTCTCCACTCGTGTGAGAATCCACAAGATCAGGGCGAGTTTTGCGCTGAGCGTCGTGTCGTGTACAGGGGGTTACGAGAGGCGATTAACACACGTGACCAGCTACCGATCAGCGATCGTGAGCTCGCACGGACTTCTGGAGTGTTTGATATTTTGCTCGTTCCTCATGAGGGTTGAAGCGGCGCTGCGAGCGGCTGCGACCCAAAAAGTATCAGAACCGCTCACGGCGCATATGCAATCCTGCATCAACACTGCTCGCCCGCTATTTCCCTAATAACACACGTTGTTTGTTTTTATTTCTAAACGTCTTTTTTTACACACATTGACAAAGATTGTCAAGAAAGCGTGTTTGTCGTGTTCATGTCAAATTAAACTGATCACAAAACACAGATTTACTTTCTTTATTTCGTTTTCCTCATCCAACCCCCATAAATCCCTGTGTGTCCTCCTGCAGCACTCCCGAAGGACAACAGGCAAAACAAGACAAAAAAGTCTGACGTGTTGTGTAAAAACTGCTATTTTTAGCACATTTTTAGGGCCGACGTGTTGCTACCAGACGTACAGTGTGAGCAGTCAGGTCGCATCCGAGAACTGGGTCGTGCAGCGTGAGCACGACTTGTGAGATCTGCCCTGCGAGGAAGTCGTACAGTTTGAGCTGAAGCTGAGTGCTACGAGTGAAAAAGTCACACAGTGTCCGCCCGGCTTAAGAAATCTCAGGGGGCGGGGCTATTTCAATAGGGAGCTTAAGTCACGCCCATCTACTTCCGGACCGTGGTTCCCTGGAAGAACAAAAAAATGAATGCAAGCCAATGGGGCTAAAAACGCTATTTTCTAATTCGCTTGTTTTGTGCCGTGGATTTCACAAATGATGTTCGTGAGTTTTAAAGACATTTTGATACCAAGTGAGCGCTTACTTTTGAATGGGGGGAAACGCTATTTTAGGTATAGAAGAAAACCTAAAATAGCCTCAGAAAACTGAGGGAAAAGGGCTGGAAGTTCAGCAAACTTCCCAAAGGAGGAAAGAACCGCCATAATCTGGTCATGTGGTAAGCAGCGGCTACGTTAGGGGAGAGGAGGTCATGTGGTGACGTCACAATGGCGACGTACCGATTTCTGGTGTGTAGTCATGCTAATTATGAACTTTTACAAGCTGATAAATCTCAAAGTACATGACAGGCAGGGTCGAAACACCCATCATTACTTTTCATTTAAATTGCAGTACAACATGTGTGTGATCCAGGGCGTAAGGGGAAGCGGATTAGAAAACAGCGGTTTTAGCCCCGTTGACTTGCATTCACTTTTACGTTCTTCTGGGGACCCGTGAGCCGCCCGGAAAGGAAGGAGACTTAGGCTCCCTATGGAAGAGTTCCCAGACTCTCAGCTCTCCCTTCCCATAAGGAAGCATGGGGCTGGCTGACCAGGCTAGGTTGTCTCTGCACCACAGCGATCCCAACGAGAGCCAAGAGGCTGAATGATCCTAAAGAGGAAAGACCCCGGCATGCCAAGGTTTGCCTGCACGAAAGCCTTTGTGTTTCTTGGAAAATCTCCCAGGAGGCCAAAAACCATCTGAGTCAGGCGATCAGATAAAAACCCACTCCTGAGTACAGGTGAAGGCCCTGTGCTGCTGCTCACCTTGTACTTGTCCACAATGGGAAGTCTGACAGGCCCATCGCTGGATCGGTTGAAGTTTGGCAAACTGTCCAAGTGGGAAATAAATGGCAAACCCCTGGTAACAAACACAAGTGGTCAAGTTAAAATGTGTTTTCACGGTCCTGACTACATCCTGGTACTGTGTGTGTTTTAGACGTTCCCGTTTCATCTTTGGAAAGCTCCGGCGGGTAAGCAGTGCAGATTTATGGGATGCTGGCGGGGTGAGCCCTGACTTACGTGTACCAGGGGCACTCGACTACGGGCTCCTTCAGGTTGGCACCCGTGAGTCCAGAACAAGGCATAAAATGGATGTCCTTCTTTGGGTTGAACCCGACTTTTTTCAAAAATGGCACCAGCTTCTCTTTACATTCCTCATATCTGCAGGAAAAGAAACGATTTCACCCTGAATCATCCAAACAGTCACAAATATTTGTCACAAATAAAGCATCGGAACATGTTAAAAAATACTTTATTGCTCAACTTCATGTTAAACCCGTTTGTATTCTCACCTTTCTAGACTCCAGTTCACAGTGGGGTCGTCCATCTTGTTGATCAGAACGATGAGATGTTTAACTCCGGCGGTTTTGGCCAGCATGGCATGTTCCCGGGTCTGCCCACCCTTCTCAAATCCCGTCTCAAACTCACCCTTCCTCGCTGAAATAACCTGAAACGAAGCAGGAACGCTTGACCGTCTAGAAACTGAAGATATTTCTGCGCCTGCCTCGGGGCCAAACACATGCGATCATGATATTTACTCACCAGAACTGCGAGGTCAGCTTGCGACGCCCCGCCGATCATGTTGGGGACGAAGCTCTTGTGTCCGGGGGCGTCCAGAATGGTAAAGTGTTTCTTCTCTGTCTCAAAATAAGCTCTTCCAACCTCCACCGTCTTGCCCTTGTCTCTCTCCTCCTGATTTGTGTCCAGAGCCCACGATAAATACCTGCAAATACGTCCCATCGCACGTTTTCAGACACGCACAAGTAGTCAAGTCACCAGAACGTATCGTGTCACGTTGTGACTTCTCACCAGGTCTCTCTGTTCTTTTCTTTAGCTTCTCGTTCGTATTTTTCCAGAGTTCTCTTGTCTACCATCCCCGTGAGGTACCTACAACACCGGCACACACAAGATGACTCACACCGAAGTAAGATGAGTGTTTTAAGTCTCCTCTAACAGGCAAGCTAGCGTGAGACTTTGAGAGATGAGGTAGAATAGAGGTAGACTCACATAATCTGTCCCCCGATAGTGGACTTTCCTGCATCTGATGTCACAAAAATAAAAATTAATCTGAGATGATTTAAATGGCCGGTAAAAAGAGGACGATTTTAAAGATAATGAACGATACACACCCACGTGACCAATAAAGACCACGTTCACGTGTTCTTTCTTGGGTGCATCAGGAGGTGGAGGAGCCACTTTAGGCATAGGCATCTCCTCCTCTTCCTCCTCCATCATCTCCTCGTCTTCCTTCCCCGTGGCACCTCCCTCCTCACAGCCATCTCCCATCTCCCTCTGGTCCTCATGTCCCCCGCCTCCCTCGCCTCCCCCAGGCTCCTCCTTCTGTTCCCACGTTTCCTCCTCAGCGGTCATGTCCGCCTCTGTGTTTCCATTCTCTACTGGAGCTGAAACCACAACAGGTTTGTTACAATCGGTGTCCTGCCTCACCTCAGAAGACCTGTGGCCATCCTCTACTTGTTCACAGTCATTCAGCTAAAAGCTGCTGGGCCTCACAGGGGATGCATTTTCCCATGAAGATCAAAAAAAGCGGGCTGCGCAGTGGTTAGAGCTGCTGCCTTGCAGCAAGAAGGTTCTGGGTTCGCTTCCCAGCCTGGGATCTTTCTGCATGGAGTTTGCATGTTCTCCCTGTGCATGTGTGGGTTCTCTCCGGGTACTCCGGCTTCCTCCCACCGTCCAAAAACATGACTATTAGGTTGACTGGTCTGTCTAAATTGTCGTTAGTTGTGTGTGTGCATGGTTGTTTGTCCTGTGTGTCTCTGTGTTGCCCTGCGATGGACTGGCTCTGTCCAGGGTGTACCCCGCCTGATTTCCCATTGACCGCTGGAGATAGGCACCAGCCCCCCCCCCACGACCCTACGTAGACAAGCGGGCTCAGAAAATGGATGGATGGATCAAAAAAGGCCTCCCAGTCTTTGTAGCAGAAATTACACAGCCTCGCGACCGTGAACACTGACTTTTTCTTCTGAAATTCACCCATCATAGGTATGCGAGAAGCTCCAGTCCCCTCTTAACTCATTGGTTCTTTGTCACCTAAGCTCTGCTGAATCTCTGGTGACAAGCAGTAAATGGTTTAAAGGGACAAGTTAGGAGGCGTTAAAACACCACCTCTTTATAACCTGATCAGGACCGGGGTCTCATCCATCATGCATTGCGTAGAATCCTTACTAAAACCCTACTTAAGCTCAGCAAAAAAATGTTCTTACGCCAAGCAGGTTTGTGATCTGTCAAACATGGAGTACGCACAGCTGCACGCAATCTCCGCTTCATAAATCTGAGAGTAACGAGAAAGTGTCTCAGCTGCATTTTAGTCACATCCCGCCCTCACCACGCCCACTTACTGCCATAAATAGTCAATGCAAAGTGCCTTGTGGATCTCATGCATATACATAAGCCGGCTGTTGCAGCGCTCCGCCAATGATGATGGCGACCGTAGATCAAGGCAGATCAAGGAAGCGCAATTTCACAGAAGCAGAAATTGAGGTACCTGTGGGTGAGGTGGAGAAATGAAAGGAAGTGCTTTTGCAAAACAAATAAGAGAAAATCCACGGAGTGGTACAGCGTTGCTGAAGCCGTCAATGTTGTGAATTCTTCAGAGAGATCTGTGGTGGATATAAAAAAATGGTCCAATCTGGATTCGATCCCCAGACTCCCGGGTGAAAGTCACGCGCGCTAACCAGTCAGCCAAACTGAGATCTCCCCTGTCCAAGTAGCCAGGGCACATGATCAATTGGGTCACAGTGACAGGACACACGCTGTCACAGACGCATGACATTCTGTCTCAATCTGTCCCCGTGCTGATATTCTGCATTCCATATTCTGTGCTTCAGGCTGTGTGTGTGTGTGTGTACGTGCACGTGTGGGGGGTCTTTTTCTGTGTGAAAACGAAGCGGTACAAGTGATAAAGCTGCAGGATTTCATAATTTTATCCTTCTCAGCAGCAGCACTGCAGGTGCTCTCCATGTCCAAAATGTGCGTAAGGACCTAAGTCAACTTAAAGTTGCGCACATTTTTCCACTAAGTTTTCTTTCATTAATCCCAAAGTTTGCGTGGAAAGTTGCTTACGCAGTTTTCCGACCCCGTTTTGTAGTAAGCAAGCTAGATAAATGAGACCCCAGGACGACACATGTGCATGAGTCTAACTAACTACAAGCATGTCCATATGGCTCTGACGGACACCCAACTGACTCCACTTGTCACAGGAAGTGTCAAGTGAGGTTGCGTCATCTGTTACGTAGACGCCCTGCCCCATGCACATGGCCTTACCAAAGCCAGAACCCCCACCCGCCTCCCTGTACCGGTGCCATCAGCCTGAGAGGGGACATAAGTGGGACCATCCACACGCCGCCTATCTGTTCACACCCTGCCCGACATGTGGATCTGTGGCTCGCTAAATGGAAACGTGCTGTCAGGTGTTCATACCGACTGGGTCTGCCACCTCCATGATAGCAGCTGGGTCAGGGGTACCTTGTGGGGCAAAAAAGAAAAAAAAAACAAAGCGTGTCAAAGTTTTCATGAATATTAACAATAAAATGTTGATTACGTCTCATAGTTCGTATCTGTAATTTGAATTAAAAATTAATCATTGAGCTGTAGAGAAGCGCATGCAACAGAGCGACTAGCTTAAGTGAGCAGAAACGTGACAAGCGAGTTGCTCACACTAAGCTAACTTAGCTGGATTAGCACGCGAGTTAGCAAGTTATGCTAAATTCACGGTTAACCTTACCGTCTGGAGACGGCGTTTCCCCGGGGCTGGCTTGAAGAAAGCTCGGTACAAACACCGGAGCGTTAACGTTGGGGACAAAAGGCTTGGCGTTTACGTTGAGTGAAGCGAAGGCAGCCGGGAGGTCCGCCGCCGGAGCCGGGGCCTCGGCATCTTCCTCCTGCTCCCACGAATCCGGGGCTGTGTCTCTCGGGTCCATGACTGCTTCGTCCAGAGTTCTAAAGCTTCACGCCACCATGCGAGGCTTGGCTGTTTGTAAAGTTCGGTTAAAACGCGACAAGTTGCTGGTGTGTTTCAGACTCTTAGCAGCACGTTTGGTGAGGTTCCCATCGCTTTAGAGCCTGGCTCTGATCAGCATATGGGTCTCTCGTAGCTGACGAGGAGCGCCGAGCAGCGTCACTTCCTACAACCACCGCTAGGGGGCGCGGTCGGACAGTTACTCTAGAAGAAAACCAGACCCGTTCACTTCATCACCTTTTATTTTAAAACATTTGAACACAAACATGAATAAAACACATGCATTTAAGGGCAACACGTCTCAGTTACACAAGCTCGAGGAAACTAATAAATACTGCAGCTATAAATAGAATAAATACCCTAACAGGGGCACTTTGAACAGTCAACATTAACATGCATTTGATTTGATCACCATCACTCTTTGGCATCAGTGACTCCTCCGCCAGAGATAGCAAAGGTGGCTTCATTCTCAGGCATATCAGGACTAGAGGAAATCACAAAAACACTTGGAGTTAACAAACATTCCCCAAACGACGTGTGATGGCCTAATTCAAGCCTCAGATGAAAAACCAATAATTTGATTTTATGCAGAAGTAAAATGTAAAAGTTTCAACTTTTGACTCAGTCAGACTTAAAACAACATCCAAGCTACACATACCTGTCAAAAATCTTAGCGATTCTCATTTCTCCACGCCCTTTCCTCAGGCTGATCCGTGTGGTGGAGGCGTGGGCCAGGATGTGCCCACCAATCGGCTTCTTGGGATCAGCCTGAAATCTAAAATGAACAATAATTCCAGTTTCAAAACAAACTTACTAGAATGACAACGGTCTTAATAACTCCGTCTTACGTCATTCCTGCTCCAGGATCAGCGGTCATTTGGTTGGTAACAAACACGGCTACGTTGTACTCTAGAGAAAACGTACATTACACCAGTAAACAAGAGCGGGGATCAGACATATTTATGGACCAACAATTATACAGAGTACCACAAAGTGATAGACACTGGTAAAAGCCGTTGTAGTACTAATATGTACTTACGTGTATTTGCACTATTTGGTTGTTGCTCCAAACTCACCTGATTTACAGGCTAATCACCAAACACATTATGTTAGCTCAAATTCTGACGTGTAATAAGGCAAACACTACAACACATGCCTGTGTGTGTGCGTGTGTGTGCGTGCGTGCGTGCGTGTGTGTGTGTGTGTGTGTGTGTGTGTGCGTGTGTGCGTGTGTGTGCTCTGTCTTCTCGATCCCCAGTGAGTCGTGGTGGATGGCTGCTTATACTGAGCCAGGATCCTCTGGAGGTTTCTTCCTGTTAAAAGGGAGTTTTCCTCTCCACTGTCGCTAAATGCTTGCTTAGGATGAGGATTGCATCAAGTCACTGACTAGTGTCAGTGACTTGATGCAATTTGCTGGGTTCCTTATATAGGAAACATGATTTCTGATTGGCTTAATGAACTGACCTGAATTGGAATGTTTATTATGTGAAGTGCATTGAGACGACTCTTGTCGTGATTTGGCGCTTTATAAATAAACTTGAATTGAATTTGTTCGGGTTTCTGAGCTGAAGACGTCTAACGAGGTGAGAGGAGGATGTTGCCACTTGTAACAGCAGAGCTGGACACACTCCGGTGGATAAATCCATTCCCCTCCGGCATTTGTATAATGGAGCTAAGTCAGCAGTTTCAATAAACAGCCTAGTTGTTCTGTGATTGAGGCTCAGCTGGGCGTGAAAATATAATGAGTGTCAGAAAAACTGCACAAATAAGAATGGATGAGTTTGTTGAGGAAAAGCTTCACAGCCAGGTCACGTTGGGTCCCATGAAACAGGGATCCACTCAACACGGGGCCTAAAACTCGTTCGTTCTGGAACACGTGTCTTATTCACACCTTCAGAAATCTTCTGCAACCGTGAAAGCATCTGAGCCAGCTTCTGCTGCCGCTCGGCCAGCTCCCCGCGACCGGAGAAATCCACTCTAAACAGAGCCATGATGGAGTCGATGATCTAACGGAACACAGCAGATGTAATCCAGCTGGATGAAACACACACCGCAGATGAACCAACAGCGGGGAGTATCACAAGTACAGGCGTTCAAACGCTCACCAACAGTTTGAACACTCCTCCTTCTTCATGGAACTTTGCTGCTACAAAGTCCAGCAGCTCCATCTGGTGCTCACCTGCAGAGACAACACGCTCCTCCTGACTGAACGGTACGTTCACACCAAAAACTAAACCAGCGTTTGATTAAAATGATCTCGTTGAGAGGAGCTGTGGCTCACTGGTGTAGGCTCGAGCGTAGAGCACGTTGTCCAGCACGGCGTCGTGGTCCACGTTGAACCTGTCAGCGATGTCTCTCAGCCTGTCAGGGCGGCTGGAATCAGACGGGTGAAGGATCACTCAGGAACACTGGAGCTACACGGACAACCACATCAGCTGGTGTCAGGAGGATACAAGGTGTTCTCTGTGTCGATGAAGATGACTTTTCCACCCGAGTAGCCGTCCTCGCCCGGCAGCTGCGCTGTAACTGAGCAAACACACGCGAACGCTGATTGAAACCAGGTAGATTTGTGAGGGTTTGTGTAAACGAATACCGATCCAGACTCACCACAAAGTGTGTGGGACAGCTGGGTTTTTCCCGTGCGGAACTCTGGGAAACAGATTTCACAAGTTAGTGTGAACCGTAACTTATTGTCTGGACTGCTTCATTCTCGGTAACGTCGCAGGGAGCTGGCGTCGGACTCCAGCCAGCAGCGTCGGGTGACAGGCAGGGGACATCCTGGACAGGTCGCCAGTCCATCACTGGGACACACTCAACCGTCTCACTGACCTGACGTGTGTTTTTGATGTGTGGGTAAAAACCCACGCATGCAGGAGGAAAACATGCTCACTCCAGGATTAGAACCCGCAGCCTTCTTGCTGCAAAGCAACAGTGCTACCACCACCACCATGCAGCCCTTCAGTCAACAACAGGAAATGCTTCTCACCTCCAAACGCTTCGGTGATAGCCATGCTCTCTACTCCTCCACCCAGCAGTTTGCTGCAGATGACAGGTAAGGCTGAAGCACGCAAAGCCAACAACATACTTCGTATCACCATTAGGACTAAAGTTTTACTCAAACTCCTGGCTCCCGGTCGTGACGTGGAACACCTGCTTCCTCTTTGCGCTGTACTCGAAGGCTGTCAGGAAACCAACGTTCTACAAGGTGAAACAATCAGACACACCATGAAGCAGATTCTCTATAAAACACCTCGTTGCTGCAGGCACCTTTAGACACTGGCGACAGAGATTCAGATCTAACCAGCATTTTTCCTGCGGCTTCCTTGATTTTTTCCACCTTTGCTTCGGACAGGCCCTTGATGTTGCACAGGGCTTTGCGTGTGGTCATCTGGATCCCCTTCACAGTGCAAATACCCACAGATTTCAGCTTTTTGATGTCTGCCATGTTCTGATATCAGACATAGAGGGACAATCACACATGGTGCATGTGAGTTTTGATGTGATGAATGAGTCTCTAGACCTGCTGTTTACTCACAATCCCATGCTTCTGAAGGAGGTCGATGTCCTGGAAGAAAGACTCCTGTTTGGTTCAGAGAAACACACATCTACATCAGAACTGGTCAGAACGTACAAAAACAATATCACTATTATCATGACACCACCACCATCAGTTTAATTCCACACACATATTTACATAATTTGTTCACACTTCTGCAGTTATTTAACCAGAAACTGATGATAACTCCCAAAGGTGAACCTTGATGCACGAATGACCAACATAAATAACCCAGTAAATAAACAATCTGTGACTGTAATGTACCCCAGTATTCGTCTTCCTAAACAAAAAATGTCCCAGCTTTATGTCCAGTCATTTCTAAGGAACACAGACATCCTCACAGACGGTGAAGTTATGGACTTGATGCCAGAATGTTTGCGTGGAAGGGGGAGATGTACTTGATTTTACTCTTTCTTTTTAATCCAACAACAAAAACAGGGAAAATAAGTGATTTGGAATCTATTCTTCCTCTGTGTGTGTGTGTGTGTGTGTGTGTGTGTGTGTGTGTGTGTGTGTGTGTGTGTGTGTGTGTGTGTGTGTGTGTGTGTGTGTGTGTGTGTACAAGGTCTACACCAACACCAAAAGCTAAATGTAGCACATCCAGAGCATCCGTGGTTCGAGGTAGGGCAGGGTGCGGTAAATCAAAAATGTATCCTCATCAAAATTTCTGTCTCTAACCGACGTCATTTTTTCCAAGTCAATAAATTTGGTAATGAAACAAAATGAAAATGTTCCTGTGGGTCAGTGATGTTCATGGACCTTTAAGAAGCTGTACGGAGTCACATGACAACGTGACTCAACATAATACATGTGACAGCCCCATAGTGGACGTTTTTCTTTGCATGCATGTTGTTATCGTGCATTTATCATTATTAAGGTGAGCTCCTCAATATACTGTGACATTGATTTTAGCCCTAGATCAAGGACAGTGAGAATTTATTCATATTTCTACAAGTGACAACAGATTTCCATGAACTGCTACGTGATTTTAGTGACTGTAGCTGTTCTAAAACAGCAACAGCTCACATTTGATTACACTCAGTAAGACCAGAGAACTCATCAGTCCTGTTTCAAGTAAAACGCATTTCCCCAAACAAAGGCTGTTCAGTGAGGAAGTTAAGTTTGTAACTATTACTTTTCTATTGAAATACACAAACTAGCTTATCCCCTCCATAGGATTTTACTTGTGTGTGTGTATATACCGGTATATAATTATTTAATTTAATACATTACATCGTCATCCTGAAAACTTGTCTCATCTTCAACAACTTGATCCTCAGCGACTTTCATTTTCAAACAGAAGCCAAAGCCTTACAAAATTAAAAGCTAAAAAATTAGCCAAAATCGGAAGTTAGCTTAATTAATAGTTTGATAGCTGTCTTCCAGCAACTGGTAAAACACACAACGCAACTAATTTCGTTCGACTTGATCACGTTACCCACAAAAAGGTGACAAAAGTAAACGTTTTAGCAAATATATATTTTGTTTTCAGCTGTAATAGTTCTAGTTTCTTCTCCAGCCGCTTTTGTTGGTCGCGCGACTGGCGGGACGTCTGATGCGTTCAGGGAACAACGAAAATTCGAGATTTACAACAAATGATAGATGACTTAATCATAGTTTTCTGTGTCGTTGATTATCTCAACAAATATTAACATTCATAATACCATAAATATATTTCAGGTGCTGCCAAAATGAGTCTTAGCCACAGATAAATGTAAAAAACAAACAAAAAAAACCTGACAACAGTCAGTGAACGCAACATCAAACTCACAAGTAGGCTGATACTTTAGTCTCCAATGATAATCCCTTTTAATTGCAAATGCGAGTAAAAATATGTAACTATTCTAATGCACATCAAAATAATTTTGCATTTCCACGCAAGTCATGGTCGGGAACTCTTTTTTTATTGAACACATCTTCTTGCCACAAAACATGTTTGTTGCTTCTATCCTTTCAGTGATGTCAGACAAAAAGCAGCGACATGGGATAGCGAAGGAGAACGTAAACTGATACATAAATGATGAAATTAAGTTGTCCCATTTAGAAAATAACAAAATGACCAAGTTTAAAATAAGTAGAGATGCCATTTGGCTTTTCTATTGTGACAAATGGTGGCAGGAAAAATACAGAGCACCTTTTTTTGCATTTAGATGTTGCAGAATTTAACGTTAATCAATGACAGGATCCAGCTGTTACAGTTCTTTAATACTTGCTTGTCATTTAAAACTACTTTCTTTCCCATTAGTGCAACTAGCAAGTACACAAAGAAGGACCAAAAACCCAGATGGACATAACCATCCATAGAACTGCAAACACTAAGACACACACACACCTTTTCTTCCTCTCATGTATCCATCTCTACCAGATGTTCTGCTAACATAAACCATATTTAAGATGAAATTAGTTTTTTATTTAAAATAAAACATAGAAAATAAAAGCAGTGCTCCAGGAATTTAAGTCTCTGCATGATGTTGGAGGTAAGAAAAGACAGTGAGAGCGAAGTGTCCCATAAATTTGGAGGGAGCCAGATGCAATGCTGTTGATGCGTTTCTGTGCTCTTCTCCATGGTCTCCCCGTCTCTTCTTGCGAGCGGCCCAGATATATTGCAGGCAGCAGATCTCAGATCGGGTCATCTCTTCCTATCTTTCACATCTTTCCAGATGCTGGAGGCATCATGCCTGGCATCCCACCGGACACAGCAGTGTTTGGCCCCAACAAGATCTGAAAAAGGCAAATGTATTTGACATCCTCATCAGCATGTACATTTCAGCATTCGCTTTCCCACTATTATAATGCGAAAGTTTGTGCTTCCAGAAACAAATGCCCTGTATTTGTATAGTGCCTTCTTAGGGTTCTACAACCCCCCAGGGCGCTTCACAACACAATCAGGCATCTACTCATTCAAACGCTGGTGGTGATGAGCTACAAAGTAGCCACAGCTGCCCTGGGTCACACTTAGAGAGGCAAGGCCTGCCGAACACTGGCTCCATGGGACCCTCCGACCACCACCAGCAGGCAAGGCAGGTTAAGTGTCTTGCCCAAGGACAACAGCAGCATTCTTTGGCCGGAGCCGGGATCAAACCTGCGACCTTCTGATTACTGGACAACCAGCTTTACCTCCTGAGCTACTGCTGTCACAAATAAAGGCTGTGGTTTACCCCACCTGTCTCTGCTGTTGAAGCTGCTGCTGCTCCAGCTGTAGCCTCTCCGTCTCAAACACCACCGGCAGAACCAGGATCATGAAGGATGTGGTGCCTACCCAGAGCGCAGATCGGGAAAAACTGGAAGTAAATCATGACGCCAGTTAGTTTCTTTTATGTTTCGTGAGCTTTCCTCAAATTAAGACAACATTTTTTTCTCTGAATCATATTTAGAAAATGACCTCTCTTCTTAAACTTCATTCTACAGTAAAATAAATATTTTAACTCTTTGACATTTCTACGTTTTCCTCAACAATTCCCATTATACTCTGGAAATAAATATCTGACTTTTCCCTCGACATCTGGAGCCAAATCTGGACACGTCCTCTCTTTTAGCCTCTTGTTCATCAGAGGCTCTAGCAGACTGTCGAGGACTCACCTGTAAAACTTCTTCAGCAGTGAGACGGAGCACTGAGCTGAAACGTCCGCAGCTGAACGAACCGAGTCAGGGAACATCTCTGTCAGGCCCCACAGCCTCTCCACAAGGGTCTCATCCAGCTGAACGTGAACACACACAAGACTGCATTAGGAGGAGGGAAATTACTGTTTTTCTATAAAGATCTGTCTATACGTTGGCCTTTAAGTGCAGATCAGCATAAATCAGACTGTTTTAACATTCGTATTTGTTTTGCTTTTCCTCCTTTATTGTTGTTGTCTTTTGATTTGGGCTTTTATATCACGTGCAGCACATCGGTCACTGTGTGTATAAAGTAGTTTATAAAGGTTAGCTGATTGGTTGAAAAACAACTGCTACTAGTTAAAGTAATCTGTTTAGTTAACGATTACAGTTAAGTCAAAGTTATAAATTGAAATCAAACACTGCAACACTGACTGGAAAGCGCATCAACTCGGTATGCTAACAGCAGACCAGGAGCACAGAGGGTTAGCTAACATGTTAGCCTTCGTACGACCCTGCTAAAAAGCACAACTGAAGTCGAGTGACTTGACACCCACGTCTTCATCTTCGTCGTCGTCTATCTCGTCCTCAGGTGGCCGGGTAGACACTGGGCCTGCGGGGGAAAGCTCCTCGATTGCGGCCATCGTCCTCTACCCCGCTCCAAGCTCGGTTGTTCGGTTTTGTTAGCTTAGCTGAGTCGCTGGCTGGCTAAAGCGTAAAAAGGTTTGCAAGTTAAACGGTTTCTAGTAAATTACCACTGAGTTTCATTGAAACTAAGAAGAGCGCATCGGTTTAACGATAGTCTGAGGTCACGGTCGGAAAACGTGAATCTTGTCGGGGTCACATGTCGTAAGAGGGCAGGGGTTAGTTTGTAGGACCGGTGGAAAAAATTGCGCCCCCTGTCGTTAGGGATGTATTACAGCTGGTGCGGTTCAGAGCCAAGACACACATAAAATTAGTTTCTTTGTACTTCAGTCAATCTCATTACGTGATATCTATTTTTTACTGTTTATGAGAGCTAATCTGTCGTGCAATAAAGGTGGAGTAAAGAGTCAAGTGGGATGTGTGATGAAAGGGTTTCAGTCATCAACATATATACAGTAGAGATGAAAGGAAAGGTGTCGGTAGTGAGGCCAGCCGAGACAGTGTCCACGAGGAAAAGACTGGAGCAAAACTGGAGGCTGCAGGCTGAAAACTTTAATGTTCTCTTTGGGAGTGACGAAGATGGATAGGAGGATCATGAAAGAGTCCATCAGTGGGACAACACCTGTTAGATGTTATGAAGATAACCTCAGAGAGGACAGGCTGAGATGGTTTGGACATGATGAGGCTGGAGCTACCAGGCTGAGAGGAAGAATAAAAAGGAGATTCATGCAAACAGGATATGAAGTGGAGCAGGAGATAGGACTAAATGGAGACAGCTGATTGGTTCCCCTGAAAGGGACAAACCCAGAGAAAAAGAAGATACTAGTTATATCTATAAAGACCATCAACACATCATCATCATCATTATTATTAAAGACGACTGAATAAATATGACATTTTCTGAAGAACTTTTACTCCTTATTTTAACAATTTCGTAAGATCTTTACGTAAAAGGCGCGACGTCACTGAGATTGCGATGTTCAAAGATTTACTTATAATAAACTCTCTGAGGTAGGTAGCACATAAAAGAGTGTGTGTGTGTGTGTGTGTGTGTGTGTGTGTGTGTGTGTGTGTGTGTGTGTGTGTGTGTGTGTTGGGTTGTTCTCGCTAGCTCCGAGGCCTTTCCTGTATTTCTGTCTCATTCCAGACTGGGCCGATGATCCAGAGCTGGTGCTGGGAGCAGAGAAGGAGCGGTTTTGGGACTCAGGGATTCCTTGTTTACATCCTCTCGGAGTACGCCGGTGGGGGGAGCTAGGCGGGCATTGGCACCGCCCCCATTCTTTAGGCCTGACGTCATTGTCGCTTGTGTTTTTTATGAATGAAAGAATCCAACCTCGGAGCAAAAGTAATTCCGGGAAAAGGCGGACTCGGTCTTGTCGCCAGAGCTGCTTCGAACCAACAGGTAATTTCTCCTTTTTAGGGGTAAAACAACACAATTTGTTTAAGTGTTTGCTTAAACTCGGCGGTAATGGCCGAGCATTAGACGACTGGGACGCTGGGCGCCTCACAGACCAAGGACAAGAGAGCAGGCAGCTGTTCGCTTTAATCCCCTTTAGCTCAGCCGCTGATGCTAGGTGCTAACGGGTAACATTGCTAAAACATTAAAGATAAGAAGTTAGTCTCGCTTTATGTTTATGTCTTTGTCGTTTAAAATCAATTAACACGCTTTACCTTATTATAATATTTGTTCTTTTTCGATTTCCGGTTGAAAATGTGACCGTCGGAGGTACTTGTTTACTATCGTAGCAGCGCCTTTGCCCTTAGCTAACAGCTCTTCTTTGAGAAAGGAAAAACGTGGATTGTGACATAGTTTTTACAAACACTTCAGCGGTGGTGTTCAGTGTTTATATTTCAGTTATTGATCGATTGTACACTATTTTAAAGTAGATGGTAAATCTGTGAGGTTCAGGTTAAAGCCGTGAGGCGTTCACTTGTTGCTGTCCTTTTTGGGAATGCTGTTTAAGGCTCTTTAATCTGTTAGTCATTGTGGAGGTTTTAGACGGAATTAGAAATAATAGTATGTTTTTTGAGAAGGAAGTAGCAACAGCTGCTAGTTTCCTTGGGTTAGCTCACGCTGACAGTCTTGGCGGAGCTGAAGGCTTTCTTGCTGAATCACCCTGACTTTACGAAACGGCGGTCTCATCGGTTAGAGCTGGGTGGATGGACGCCTTTTACTGGCATCCCACGCATGTTTCTGGGATGCAGCTCACCGTAAACAACCTGGTGAAAACGTAAAAATATGTTTTATATTCAGCCTGGGTTTAGCCACCACTAGGACGGGTGGTGAGGCGGCCACAGACCTGCGAGGGGCCCGGGGAGTTTGAGGTTTCCTGGTCAGGAGTCCGCCCCTGAACGTGGCTGTTATTGTTTCATGTAACTTTCTAACACCATCAGCACGTGGACATAAACGGATCACCTACAGCATCTAAATGACGCAAAAATACACTTTCTAAAGAATCTACCGGAAGATCAAAAATCCAAAAACGACCCAACAGCTTCCAAGTGAAATGATGTAAACAGTCACCAAGAGACAGAACATAGCAACCCAATGCAGTACGACCACAGAGGCGAAGGAAAAGCCGTTTCTGCTGAGTGAAAATGTCATTTTAGTTGTGGGTTGTACCCAGGGAGCTGCTGTAGCTGTAAGTCCAACTTCAGTAAATCTGCTGTTACTGTGCAGTTGTTGTTCCACCTTAAACTTTCTCGAAGCTGCTGGGTGTGCCTCAGATTCAGAAGAGGGCTTCTAAGTGGCTTTTTGATTTATGGTTTTACAGATATAATTAGTATCTTTGCATATGTAGATGGCTTCCTGAACAGCACCTGTTCAGGTAAATAAGTCATCAGGATTGATGAGCTAACCGTTATTTACATGATCTACTCAGTCTGTACACACCACCACGACATTTGTTCAGGCAGGCTTTCTTGAATACCTAACTGCAAACATTTGCTTGACTGTGTTCTTCCTACTGTTATATTATGTAGATTTTAACTAATGTGTCAATGTGCAATGTGTATCTTTATGATACTGATCTATTGATTGATTATTTATGGCTTACCTGTTGATAATTTGAACTTGAATTGTTATTTAGTATTTTAGCATTTTACTGCTTTAATTTTTAACTTTTTGATTTGTATTGTTAACTTAACAGTGTTCTAACCTGTAATATGTTAAAGTGACCTTACGCTTACAAATAAATGTATTATTGTCGACAGCTAGCTGGAGCTAGCCTCCAGCACGTTTTAGTGGTTTCTCTGCTCCAGCACACCTGTGCAGCAGCTCTTGAAGCTTCAGAAGCCCGCTGATCACCTGCTGATTGTAATCCGGTGTGTTGAAGCGGAGTTAAAACTAAAACCTGTTGGATACTGGCCCTCCAGGCCCAGAATTGAATACCCCAGGCCTAGACTAAAGCAGTTTGCTGGCACCTGTAAATGACCTCTTGCCTGTTTTCATGAAAGCTGCTTTACACTTTATCACAGCACACACCTCTTCTGACAACATCTGATGAAGTTCCTCCGGACCAGATGACCAGAAAGTGCTATGTTTTTCTGCTGCTGTGATTTTTTGATGCTTCTAATTGTGCGAGAGAAAAAATTTGGCTAACAGCTAGCCTGAATGCAGCAAAAACAAAAACCCATTGCTGCTTTCATAAAACAGTTCCAGTCTTTGTTGTTTGACCGTAGTTTACACAAACAGATTCTCATCAAACGTTACACCACAGACCGTTATGCCACACCTGTTTGATTTGGCCTGAGTACCAAGACATTCCTGTCGGACGTGACCTCTGGGCGTACCGGAAGTACCGACGTGCACTGTTAACCCGACTGTTGTGTAAAGGTTGATGCTTGCCACTTTTATCCAGGCTGTGCTCAGGCTAGCCATTAGCCTATCATTCCTGTCAGAATTGAACCGTTTTTCCAAACGGAGGCTGTTCAGCGAGTGGTCTGCCACGCTTAAGATATGAATTAGTTGTGACTCGCGTCAAAAAGTCCTAAAGTAAACGCAACGGTTCTCCAAGGTAGAACATGTGAACCTTTATTCTGGAGCAGAGCATTTAAAGGAATGCTTCAGACTGAATGTCTGTTTATAACTGCATATCTGCTGAAAGTGGGTTAAAGGGTCATGATAACACCTTAGGACCTTGTAAACACACATGACTGGTTCAGATTGAGCTGTTTGTGTGATGATGTCCCTCCTTGCACCTGACAAACATCCCAATAGGTCAACACGAGGAAGAGTTTGTTTCGTATGAAAGTGAAATGTCGTAAAAAGCCTGGTTTTCCCCGACTTGTGTGGATTAAAGAGTGACTTAGTGAGAGGAGGACGTTTGGTGTGTGAGGAGGAAAATCCAGTGTTGCACCAAAGCAGAGCGATAACACTGACGGGGCAGAAAGCAGCAGGGGAAAGCACCTCGAGCAGCTTTTTTCATGATGTGAGAGTTGAGTTTGCTGGCCTTACTCAACAGTGTGTTGGTGTTTTTATCTGTGTGGCCATTTTGTTAAAGATAGAATCAATGAAAGTGCCCTTTTCTTTTTGCTGAATCACTTTGGTAGCACGGCAGCAGCCCGAGTCCCGCAGGCCGAGGCAGGGCTGGAGGGGTTGGTTAGTTAACCCACTTAGAGGTTAGACTTTGATCCCTCACAACAACATGTGTGTGCTGACATTAGGCTGAGTGGGACGTCCTGATGCTATCTGAGCCTCTGGCTGACATTAGAGATGCTGCTGCTGTATCAACAGTTTGTTTGTTACGAGGGTGCAGTTTCACAACGGTGGTGAAAGATTCAGGTTCTAGGAGCTTGAAAGTTGGGCGTGTTCCGGCGTTGTAGGGCGAAAGCTTTGAACCGTTTGGTGTTGAAAGCAGGAAGTGTTGGGGGAATTGGTTAGGACACCTGTTTTGAGCAACCAAAGGCCAGGCACATGATAACTTCCCCCTAACCATTCCAGCAAGCAGAAGAAAGAGTGAAAGAAGAAAAAAGGCCCAGCGTTTTGAAAACCTCCTTCCTCTAGTATCAAACCTCACAGTTTAATGAGAGAGGGCCTTTGGAGGAGCATGAAAGATCTGTGGCTTCCTCAGCGTGCATGACTGGCTGTCTTGTGAGTGGATGGTAAATGCCAGGTCGGATACAAAGCAACGAGGCTTAAAGTCACATGGGAAAGCATCACTTTGGTTTTTTTTTTTTTTTATTCTTGTTTTTGTTTTTTCCAGAGACTATTTTTGTTTCTACTGGTGCTGCGGGGCAACACGGAGGATAACTGGATCATGACGACGGAGAGAAACAGCAAAGCCTTGAAGGTACAATTCAGCCAGAAATTAAAAAAAAAGAGCCGAGTCATGGTATAGCCCTAAACTACGGTTTGTGTTTCCACCCATTCAGGTGAAGCAGGAATGTGGGGAGAATGTGCCCTTCCTGTCGGACAGCGAGCTCATGTCCCTGTCGGTGCGGGAGCTGAACCTCCACCTGCGCGGCCTCTCCCGGGAGGACATCCAGAAACTGAAGCAGCGTCGTCGCACCCTAAAGAACCGCGGCTATGCGGCCAGCTGCCGGGTCAAACGCGTGTCCCAGAGAGAGGCCCTGGAGCAGCAGAAGATGGAGCTCCAGAGGGAGGTGGAGCGGCTCGGGGCTGAGAACGCCGGCATGAGGAAGGAGCTGGAGGGTCTCGGCGCTCGCCTGGCCGCCCTCCAGAGGTTCGCCAGGGGTCTGGAGTCTGGGGGGGCCAGCCTGCTGGCCACAGCTCCACGCCTCAACACCGCCTCGGTCATCACCATAGTGAAGAGTCCCCCTCAGCCTCAGCAACAGAGAGATCAGGAACCGTCGTAGGACCGCCATCGCTACCAGACTGGGGGGGGGGCGGGGGGCTCAGCTGGTGGACAGTCTGCAAAGGAAACACACACGCACGCACGTAGGAAAATACTAAACGTGTCTGCATTCTGCCCATTTCACATTATGGGATGCAGATGTGCTTCACTTCAGAGCGGCAAGTTGGGGTGTTGCCTAGCAACAAGAGATTAGTTAGAAGTCATCCTGGGACAGAAGGACACGTCGTCCGAGTCACTCGGGTAAAGGTTTTCAAAGAATGATCAGAAAGTTGTAATGTACACACACACGCACACACACACACACACACACTGGACTCTGAAGCCAGGCTGACCCAGAGTTATCGCACATCCAGGAGAAACTTTCTGCTTCCACCTGACTTTCAGCAGAAGCTGAACAAAAGTGGGCGTGTCCCTCTTCCCGCTGACTCTGACCTTATCCGACATCCCAACTTCCCGTTTAGTCCGTTGATCAGCCTCTCTGTCGTCGTCGTCCGAGGTGGAGTAATGAACGTTTTCAAATACGTATTTCACGTGAAACTTGTGCCATCTTGAGGCCACATGAAAGGTTTTCTGTTTAGGATCCAGGAAACACAAGTACCCCAGAGGCTGGAAGCCGACATCTCCCCGCTCCGTCCGCCACCTCTGTGTGGTTGCAGATCTTCCATCAACGCAGTGCCTTCGGTCTGTCGGAGCTCAGAAACCTCAAAAGGAAAAGGTGACAGCAGGTCGAACCCGACAACACAGAACTTTCAATGGGATGGCGTTAAGAGTTTCAGGGCTGTGACCTCACGTCAGCTGCTGACACGGCCATTATGTTAGGAACACGTCTGCTAGGAGTCCCGCTCATGTCTGTGATGCAAAAACCTTCTGAAAACATTCCTGTTTGGTGTTATTTGTAATGTTTGTACGTGCTGCAGAAAGACGAAGATGTTGCGTGACATTTATAAGAGATCTATATATATTCTTTATTTTATTTGTATTTAAAGCTAGATATTATGAAAAGACAAGCTAACGAGTGCTGTGACGTGTTTCCAGAAGTACTTACGACTAGTCTGAGGATGTTCTTCTCATGTCTATTATTGTGTTGTGTCGCAACAAAGATTACAAATGTTAAATATGATTAGCAGCATAGAGACGCTCAGAGCTGACGGCTGTGTCCACGTATGATGACTTTGTGTATGTGAGTGTGTTTGCCACGTTTGTAACAGCTTGTCCTAACGCGTTCTTGGGAGGGACACTTATTTTTCTACGATGGTTTGTATGTTTTCAGAAGCCGTTTGAAATGTGGGGACAGGAATATCACTGGGTGTGAAGCGAGGAGAGGGATGAGAGGATGAAGGGACGGTGGGTGAGGGTGAAAAAGGAAGAAGCAGGTTGGAAAAGAAAGTGCAGAGAGCTGATTTGATACACTTGAAGACCTTCGTGAGACGTTTGAGTGCAGATGTTTATTTATCCGCTCAAACAGATCTGACTTTCACGTATAGTGCTAGCTAGCAATATTCCGAGTTTAGACTGTAACACAATAACTGTGTTGAGTGTACGAGGCGTGGTTTTAGCTATATGAGTGTCGTTGTGGCAAAAGCATTTATTCGCAATATTTTACCGTCTCGACGTCCGTCAAACTGTGCTGGATGTTTTGTAACACCTGCAAAACAATATGGTCTTTGTATTTATTACCTGTATTTTTTTTCTATTGTGAAAATTTAAGTACATCGTCTATTTTATATATTAATTATAATAAATGTTGTACATATTGTACATAAAATGGTGGTGTGTGTGTGCTGGATTGGAGTGGAAATACAGCATCAATAACACAAATACAGGTTAAATAACATTTTATTATGTCTGCTCATTTGATGTAGAAACAGTGTGAGCAGCTCAGACAGAAGAAGAAACCAACAGATATGGAAATGTTGCTTCAACACCACCGCAGAGACCTGAGACCAGGTTATTTGTAACAATGCTAAACTGCTGCTAAAATCATCCAAGTACCCAGAACAGAGCAGTAGCTGTTCCACCCACTCATACCGCCTTCTTGGTTGTCACCTTCAGCAGACTCAGGTCATGAGGTAAATGGCGTGTATTAGTAAAGCACCTTCTTAGGGTTCTACAACCCCCCAAGGTGCTTCACGACACAGTCACGCGCTGGTGGCGATGAGCTACGATGTAGCCACAGCTTCCTTGGGAAGTCGAGGCCTGCAGAACACTGGTGTCACCGGCCCCTCCGACCAAGGGCGTCAGTTTGTTGTCAGAATTGCTGGGGACAATAAAGTAGGCTAGCACAGGGGTCGGCAACCTGCGGCTCTGGAGCCGCATGCGGCTCTTCCATCCATCTGATGCGGCTCTCTGTGCTTATAAAATAATGACTGGATATTTAAATAAAATGCTTTATATTTTACTGCATTAATTTTACATCTGTATGCCAATTCTAAATGTAAAGATTGTCTGCGTAAACCTGAACAGTTCCAACCCGGTCTTACTGTGAGACCGGGTTGACGGGTCACGCTTGTGCGTAATCATATCGGCGCTTCTGAGCTGCTTTCTGGCCTTCCCCACCTACAAAGTTTAATTACAACAATCAAACGTGACAGAGCCTGGATTTGTATTCTGAACAGTCTAAACATGTTTTAAAAAGAAACGTAGGACAAAAGTGGCACCTGCTCAGTAAAATATTATTGAAGGCAGAGACGGGCTACAGCTTCTGGATCCACTTTATTTAATCGTTTTATTGATTATCTTTTTATGAAAGATAACTTTGACGTAAACGAGCGATCAGGCGCGTTGCAAGATTTTCAAAAGTGTGGGGGATGTTGTATGTGCCTAAAATAATTTGATGTTATTCATCTTGTTAGTTTAATTTCCATAATAGCGGAGCAGGTGCGAATTTTAGACGCGTCACGCATGTCTCAGTTTTAAACATGTTTAAACTGTTCAGAATACAAATCCAGACTCTGTCTCGTTAGATTGGTGCAACTAAAGTTTGTACTGAATGAAACTACATAAAACCATGTTGAAAAGAAAAGGATCCGATTAAATCGTTTCCCCCTTACAGTCATGGACTACAGTGCAGTGCGCACGGCTCTGGGGTTAATCAAGTTTAATTGTTTCTCTTTGCAACAATCTTCACAAGAAGGCAAAAGAGTTAAATGACAGGTTACAGATATTTCCATTTGACTGTTTATTTTGACAGATAAACTCAAGGATGTTGGTTGATTTCCTCCCACTGAAGCGGTCTGGAAACCCGGTCTCTCTGAGGGATGTGTCACTTGGAAAAATGTTATTTTTATGAAATTATGAAAGTTTGGCTGAATAGCGCTTGTTCCTGTCTCCAATATGGAGACGCATGATGCATCCAGTCGCCTCTTCAGCTCATAAAACACCTGTAGAGACATTTGGTCACGCACAAAGTTCATGTGGAGCAGAAGCGGTCGGGCCACGGCAGGTGAAACGTTCCTAGCCTACATGAAGTGAAACTGTTTAATTGTAACATTAATACGTTTCTGGACACGCTGGTGTGGTTGGTTAGACCAGTGTTTGAAGTGGAAAACACACACACACACACACACACACACACACACACACACACACACACACACACACACACACACACACACACACACACACACACACACCAATTAAAATAATGCTGATAGCGTGGACTAGAAGACAGGTGATGGGTTACGTATTTAAATGATGATCAGGCTGCTGTAAAATGTAATCTCCATCCACATCCAGACACAATTATCCTCTATTCTTTCTCTAGTTGCTCTGCTCTTGTCTGGGCTGACGTATCTGATGGTGCGCGCGGTGCGCCTAGTGGCTGTGATGCACATTTTACGCATTTGGAGAGGTGGGCTGGATGCTTTGCTTTCACTGGAAGATGGTCCACTTAACGCACGGGTGTAGACTACATGTTAATGACAAATGAATGAAAATTAAATTGGGAGTTTTTACTTCATATTTTAGAAATAAAAATGACGGGGGAATACATTCATGACGTCTTTTTAAACAAAATTTTCTAGCGCGACCTGCCTGCTTCACTTAAGTCACTGCTTATCAAGGCCTGTCCAAAATTACCATGGCTCACCCAAAAATGAAAACCTGGCGCTGCGCCTGTTATAATCCTCTGCAAATTATTGTTCTTCACGTTATCAAACTCAGACTTTGTACAGCTAATGTCAAGATGTAAAATTATGAATTCAGTCGAGCTCTTCCGTCCCTCCCTCTCCTGCTCTCCTTGAACCCGACATCGGCTGTCAGAATAGGGGAGGTGAAGAAGGAGATGAGGCAAACAGAGTGAGTGCGACCTAAAGAAACCAGACTGGAGTGGAGGTGAGCAAAACAGCTGGAAAAGTGTGGGTGTTGCATCCCCCACGGGTGCGACGCCCATGGTACCGGCTGCTGTCACCTGGTTGTGAGCAGCTCTCTGCTGTCTGAGGGTAGGCCCCGCCCACAACGCTGCGCTGCTGTGGCTCCCAGTGTCTTCATTACTGTGGGAAATGGGTAATAATGGCTCTTTGATGGGAATAGGTTGCCGACCCCTGGTATGAGATCTGAGCTGGTAAAACAAAAATCCTCATCAGCAGGATTTTTTGAAAGTGGGGGGGACACAGCTGCCAATCACAAATTTTGCCGGGGACATGTCCCCGGCGTCCCCGGTTAAAATGACGCCTATGCCTCCAACCACCACCAGCAGGCAAGGTGGGTTAAGTGTGTTGCCCAAGGACACAACAGCAGCATTGTCTGGTAGGAGCTGGGATCGAACCTGCGACCTTCCGATAACTGAGCAACCCGCTCTACCTCCTGAGCTACTATTAATAAAACGAGATGATCCTCAGAATCCGTTTATCTGATAAAAACAGAAACTGAATTAGTCTGAAGCTCGTGAACTGAGCTCTGCAATAGTCTGGGGATCTCCATTTGTCGCCCCCTAGTGTTCACAGTGAGCTACGACGCACAACCAGAGAAAAGAGGCAGTGGTGAACGTTCCTGTATGGTGCGTTCAGGTGACTCTGGAACTCCGGCTCAGATTAAAGAAACATCACCTGTGGTAGGATTTAGTGTTTTATTAACCAGAACAGTCATGATAACTCATCTGAAACTTGTGTGACTGTTTCTCAGCTAAGACTTCAAGACGAGCGGGAAACCAGCGTTGAACAGGATTTTAACACTGAGCTGTAAACAGAAGACAGTTCTTTTACTGGATGATTTAGGACAGTTGTTAAACATGACCAATCAGAGGTAAATAACTCCGATTCAATGGGAGATTTCTTTTATGAGTTATTTTACCACCTTACCTGTTGTGGATTGCTTCCTGAACAGCCTCTGTTTAGAGAAACAGGACTGATAGGCTAACAGCTAGTTTGAACTCTAGCAAGACCAAAATGTGTTTCTGTTGTCATAAAACCTCAAATCTACTAAATTTCACATTGACATAACAGCCTTCAGATTTCATGAATGTTACTAGTACAGGAACAACGTAGC